AAATATACATTATAGATTTTGATTGAGCCAGAAAAATTACAAAAAATAGTAATTAATATGTCAATCTCATGGACCTTGCTGCATTTCTATCTGCAAAAAAAAAATGGAAGTCTGGAGAACTAGATCTCATGCAGATTCTACTTTATCAAATACTAAAGCAAAGGTATAAAGACATTGTAGGCTGAAATGTTTGCGATGCTTCCAGAACAATCAAAACAGTCAGAACATGTCATTTGTCCGGACATTTATACACTACAATGACCAACCAGCCAAGCTGGGAGCTAAAGCCTTTGCTCATTGTCCCAGAAAAACTTTGGTTTAGTTGAACATTTAAAAAGCATTACAGTTACCTTGCTAGTATACTACTTCATAAGCATGTCGATGAAAATGATCTGTTAAGCATGACTATTCAAATTAATTGATAAGTACAAAGACATAGAAGTTACCACATAATGCACGTAAAAAGTTAAATGGTTCCTCTCCCATGGTGACTGAAGCAAATGGGTTCCGTGGATCCATTGTAGATTTAGACAATTTACTTCTGAATACATCTACAAAACCAAATATCCTGCTGAGATAGAAAACAATGAAACTAAAACTGATTCATAATTGCAAAATTGTATATAAGCTAAATAATACAGAAATGTTACTGTCACAAAAATCTTACTCTTCTAGTATCTCTTTCCTCTGAAATCTTAGAAAAAAAGATTGTAAGTTACTTAACATTAAGCACTTGATATCACAGACAGAATTTAATTCTTGGTCTGGTGCCAAATCAGGCAACCTACTGGACTGGTATATCCAGGTGGTACATTGTCCGGTATTTTTGAATAAAATAATAAAAATAAAATTGGACAGTATTGTACGGTATCAAGTTGTGTTTTATACTGGTCATCATACCACACTTTATCTTGTCTCCATACCATAGCCATTAATGTAATATCCAAATTTTGGACTCCATAGAATAGTCATTCATGTAATATTGAAAATTTTGGAAAAGAAAGGATTCGTTAATGTCTCAGATCTTCTGTTTGGGACTCCTAAGAAAGAATTGAGATGTCAGCTGTACCAAAACACATACTTTGTCAGCAAGTGCTGCACATGGTAACAGCACAGTGGTGCCACATGCAGTATCAACAGGTAGTATGTAGCATAACATATGAATGGCTGGTTGGCACACATTACAGAGTGTTCAGAAGGTTGGCAGCAAGCTTCCTGATTCATTATTTGATTACCTATGAGAAGGTTATCCTTCCTGTCCCACGTGGGACTAAAACCCATGCAAAAGAAAAAAGAGCAACAGGAAGAGAAATTTTGAGTTCTCTCCCTCAAATCCTAACAACTAACACTAAAGGGACAGTCAGTGAACAAGCCAACCTTATCTTAAGGTCAAACTAACAGACCGGGAACAAACTACAGGTCTACAATGTCAAGAAAACATATGCACATTACATGTATTTATGGACACGATGAATAGAAAAATATATTATGTGCAAGTGACACCAAACATGACTAAGTTGTAAATAAAGATTAAAATTCATGCCATGAAAAGTTTTTAGCAACAAAGCAATAACAGGTATTAGAACAGAGAAGAACCTAATTACATTTATCTGTAACACGACCAAGAAGGCAATGCACTATTGTATTTATTAAATCATATAGTTAGCATTCCCTACACAAAAACCAATCCAGCTAGTAGTGTGATGAGAGGCAACCTGGTGATGTAGCAGGACGACTTCCACTATCAACAGAAAGAATTGGAAGGCCCATGACAATTAACTTACGCCTACAATAGGAAATAACATACTTTATTGAGAAATACTCTAAGCAACAGTTAACTGCATCAAACAAATTCTAACTAAAATGTGCTTCATATAAAATTCAAGTACATAAAACAATGTTTATTAAGCTTATACAATATATACATTTAAAAGAATTGCTACTTTGTGAAAATATTCGAAGATAATAAAAGCCAGGAAGATGAAATCCATGAGAAGATGCTTTCTTTTGTTTTCTTCATTTTTCTCATTATAGAATCAATAATTGGAACAGTAACACTTGCATACTCTCATTTCTTATTGTTCTTCACATGTTTTCCTCTTCAGTCTTGAACTTCTTCGATATCAATCTACCAATAGTTGGCAAAACTATTATTTTTTATTATTACTCTCTTATCCGTGCACATAAACATATATGTATACACATGTTCGGAGTTGAACACATCCTGTTAGAAGTCCTTGATGGCATTGAAGATGAATTAAATCACAAGAAATATACAAATACGAAAACATATATGGTTTAAAACTAATACATTCATCAAGATTTAAGAAGATAAAAATATAAGCAACTTAAATGGCGTATAACGTTTGTCTATTTGATTATCAATATAGCATAAAAAATGTCAAAATCCATGGGTGACTCATGGGAAATAATAGAATAAGATATGTTTGCATTTGTGAACGATCAGGATAGTTCCTATCAGAGATAAACCAAGAGGAAACTGTTTAAGGCTGCTGAAACATGTTGAAATGAGATTTAAACACACTGGTTAAGAAAGGTCAGTCTACTTAGGTTAGTAATGCGAGGAAAATTCAGAGGAAAACAAAAAGAATCATCAGAAATAATAATATAGGACGTGTTGCCTCTTAGTTTGTCCAGTGGTAATGATATAGCTGAACCCAACTAGTTTTAGCAGAGCTATGCAACTAATCTGAGAAAACTGACGATCCAAACTGAATCAGGCTATTCAGTTTAATTCAGCTCAGTTATTACATGCTCGGGTTGATTTCAAATCAGTAGACAACTCAACTAAGTTCTGTTTGGTTTCACCCTTCCTCTAGATTTGTTATAGTTTTCATGTTAAAGATTCTCATACTTCTTTAATTGCAGCAATTACACTATGTAACAACAAAAAAAACTCAAAGACTCGAAGAAAAACATGAATTGAGGAGAGTTGACTTGAAAGCCGTAGACTACAGTAGACTTACAAACCTGACTACCTTTGAAATCAAAAGTTGAACATAGAGCAAAACGTCCTTAATCCTGCTTGATATAATAGTACTATGATATACCCTCATTCTTGCACGAGGCCGTCAATATGAGATCAGGAAGGGTGAATGTACGCAGCCTTAACCTTGCAAATGATATTTCCATGATTCGTGCACCAAAGCTCGCCCTTACCGAAGAAATTGGAGCATCTGAAGTTAAAGTGTATTCCATGGAAAGACTATCGAGTCCCTCAACTCAACAAACACATCCGTCAAACGAAACAATAACGAATTGGTCCATAAGAATTCGACAAGAATAATTTATAAAGGTTAAAGAAAATACAACAGCGCATTATATATTTTTGGCTTCAACAGTTGAGCAAAAGCCAAAAAAAAGAAAAATCAAACGAAGAAGCTGACATGAAACGAAAGCAATTTCTTTGAACAAAACAAAAGGATTTGAGTTAAAATTTTGTTGTTTCCCTTTGCCCCAAGAATCCTACGAATAGCGAAAACGATATTGTTAAGAACCAGAGCTTTATTTACATCATCCGGTTTGGTTTCGTTCTCATGAGAGAGAGAGAGAGAGAGAGACGTTACGGCCAGCAGCAACGCTGAGGCGGAGCGAGTCGACGAAACGAAGAGCGAACAGGTCGAAGCGGGAATAGGGAGCAGAGGCGACGAAGTGAAGAGCGCTACAGACCTCGGCCGTTCCGGTGGGGGAGGGAAACGAGGATAAAAGATTGGGTGGACATAACAAGCTTACATATATTATATATTATATATTATATAGGATTAATTCTCAAAAAGACCTATTACTTTATAACAATTAAGATTTTTTATTTATCTTTTTTATTTTAAAATATAATATTATTCCTAACAATTAGGATTAATTCTCAATACTCATGTCTGTCAAAGGAAGAAGAGAGAGGAGATGATGATGATGAAAAAGGAGATACATATTACATTGCTCCCAACGGGTCATTTACATTGCAATAATTGTAATCTGACTACATTTTCATCAATTTAATTATAAAAGCATATGTTGAAAATTTTATAGCTTGATTTGACATACTTATCTTTCAATAAAAAAATAATTATATATGATATTAATTGGATTAGTTTTCAGCCTCTAGCTAATCTTAATGAGTTAAAGGTTTATTTTAGTCGTTTTAGTCATGGATCACTTAAACCGTTATGATTTATTCGTGTCTAAAATAAATTTTATATTTTAAAAAATATAGTATATAAACTCATTATATGTTGACTCATAATAAATTATTAATATAATGATACGTACAATTTAAATTTTAAAAGAAATTCATTTTAACCCATGTGATTTTGGTCATTGACCACTTAAGCCTTTATGACTTTGATTATGTCTAAAATAACTTCTATATTTTTAAAAACATTGTATATAAGCCTTTTTTGTCAAGTCTGAGTTAACGAACACTAAAATGCGTTGACCCATAATAAGTCATTAATATAATAATACGTGTAATTTAAATTAAAAAAATTAAAACCATCATAGGTATCATTGTGGGAGTGACTACCAACAACACCAAGTGTCAATAATCCTCACTAATCACGTATGGTGGTCCAACTTTCCCTCACCTCCACCTCGACTTTCATCGTTTCATTTTTCTCAATAAAATATATATTTTTTAAAAAATTTAAATTATATATATCATTATATTAAATAGTTTATTATGAATTAGCAAATCAATTTTACTGTCTGTTAACTCAAACTTAATAAAATAAACTTATATGCTATATTTTAAAAATATAAAGATTATTTTAGATACAAATAAATTATAAAAAAAAATCAAATAAACTATAAAAAAAAATTAAATTAATAACTAAAACCAATTGTCTAAAATAAACCTTAATACAATCTTAATGGACAAAGCTTTCAATAAATCCAAGACCTAAGCCTTCCTGTAAATTGTAACACTTAATTTTGATGATTATGTACTCAGACTCATCATATAAACGAATCACTTAGAACAATACTTTGGTTGAGAGGGATACCTAATTCATTAGCTTAAGCAAAAGTACTTGGAAGCAAGGTGTTTACATCCTTCTCAATACAAGAAATGTTCTGTACCTCAAAAATAACACAGGACCTATATTTACATTGTACCGAAGTCACAGTATAGTGTCCGAACTCTCCTCAAGGCAGCCAACAACATGACTTTGTTGAACGGTAGACTTTGAATACAAGGGCAAAAGCAACTCATCTACAAATCTCAAGGCCATAATCTGCTTACTGCTCCAATTTTTGTGGAAGCAGATATTTGCTTCTAACATTATCATGTAGGTTTAGGTGATTGCTTTCTGCCAGCAGAACTGCGCCCCCTGAAACCAACAACACTGAGCTTAGACTTAGGAATTCTTGTGATGACAGATTTTCTACCCTGTTGCAGCTTGTTGCCCCTCGTTGGTTCCCTTTTTCCACCGACAGGAGACTTGATAGGCTTTGAGATTGCGACAGTCGTTTTTGATTTTGTTGATGCTGAAGCTTTTCCTTTACTGGCTGCCACTGATTTTTGAGCTGATGTTGCTTTTTTGCCCGCTTTGGATGAACTTTTGGTTAAAATAACTTTTGCTTTATATTTCTGATCAATCTGTTTTGATATGAAGGCATCTCTTCTCACACTGTTGGCGGAAAGAGCTTCCAAGCTCTCATTTTTCTTCATGGCTTCTTCAATTCGAGTGGCTAAAGGAATATCTTTCTTTGCGACAAGGCTTGTCACTTTGCCTGCAAAAAATAATCAGTTAACATCTTGATGCTGTAGAATATAGTTTTTAAGGAAAGCCAATGTTAAAATATAAATTTGGAAATACATCTGAAACAGAAAAGTGTAAGAGCGCTGTTCAATCTGAATTCCTGATAATAAGAAAAAAGCACCATAGTAAAAGCCCACCACCCCAAAAAGAGTGAATGAATGACACGAGCAACATGCACATGTTAAAGAGACTTGTGATAAGGTTCATTCAAATTCTCAAGAGTCTAAATTCTAAAACATTATGACACTCGACTAGGGGTTTTGCCATGCTCATCTATTTGACAAAGACAGTTGACTACTAGCTAAAAGATCATCATTGAGGGGTAAAAGGTACCAAGGACATTCAAAGCCATTGTAATGCCCAATCAGACCATTGCAACTTGTGGCAATAAGAAATTACCACTAATAATCTAATATCTTCTGATAGTGCTGGTTGATCAGATTTTGAACACAAAAATAATTACAAACCATGAAAGAAGTGAAGCAGTGAATCCTGGATCACACAGACCAAAGACCTTAAGATTTTATCTTAGTTTAGGAGATTATACCTAAGTTGTCCATTAAAATATACATACTAAATTATGTTTCAGATTTTGAAGTACATTTCCAATCCAATGGGCTATAAAAATGGAAAGTATTCTCATTTAAGCAAGAAGCATAAGCATCAAGACAATGAAATAAACCACAGCTGACATGAATTTTCAAGCCTAAAAGAATTGCAATTTTTTTTCAAAAAAAAGAGAGATTAAGAAGGTACAGGAATCACAACTACCAAAAATGGTTTGCAGAAAGTGCATATGCAAGTGTCTATGTTACCAAAATCAAGATTACAGATGAAGCTGAACTACAATTCATTCATCTGTGTGCAGATCTTAGTGGCGTGCTTGTCACCTGCATTAAGTGTGGTATACCATTCTAGAAGGATTCTGATATCTTAAGAGTTCTAAAGGATTACACTATAAGTGCGACTCTGATGCTTCTTAATTTATAACGAGCTGTGTGATCTTCAGAAGAAAATAAAGTTTGTATTGCTCTTAACCATCTCCTGCTGTGTTTTCAGTGTGGGCTGGGAATGCAACAACTTAAAAAACATGTCAAGATCTTCTTCCTTGGCTTTGGGAATCATGTAACAACTCAAAACAAAAAAGTATACCTTTGGCACCCATACGAGCAGTTCTTCCAGTCCGATGGAGATAATCAATCTGATATAGTGAAAGAAGTGAAAAAAAAAAAAAATCAATTCCGTATCTTCATGAAGGTAAAAGACAAAAAATACAAAAAAGAAGAAGAAATGATTTAAATACTAAGCATGAGCAGGTAGACCCACAGAATTCAATGGAAAATCAAACATAATAACATGGTCAACATCTAGGTCCAGTCCTCTAGCAGCCAAATCCGTGCACACCAAAGTTGGACAATCTCCATCTTCACTCTTAAACTTTCTCAGGTTTTCAACTCTGAATTAAAGAAACATGTTAAACAGTCACTCAATCAGTTGCAATGATCTATATTATGCACACAGGCTATTTCAATTCATAACGTGAAAGCATTCATTTAATAGGAGTAAAACTAGAGAAGTCTCAGAACTGTACTAACGTACAGTTACATACTCCTTTATGAGATTGAAGGCAGAAAAGAACTAAGAAATTTCTTTGTTGAGAGTACACCTATTTGCGACAATCTGTCCACATCCAGCAAAATTTTTTGTAAAGACGACAAAAGCAACATGATAAGAGTTAGTGAAGAGGAAGTTATTGCATACCACAGTTGCGCACACAGCAATTTGAAGAATGTGTAATAAAAATATGCTAGCAAAGTTTGAAAGACTTAAAATGAAATCTCAAGATGTACGAAAATATCAGCAAAAGCAATGTTATCCAGAAGGAAAAAAATTAAAACACAATGAAAATTGCAAAAGTGTCAAAAACTAGAATCTGCAAAATCTTAAAAATTAGGCCAAACAACAAACATTAATAAATAAAAGAACAAATCACTCTGAACAAACGACAAGGAAGACATACCAGAAAGTATGAAATGATACTCAAGAAGCATAAAGTTAGGTTTTAAAAATAACATAAATTCAAGACTTACAATCAAAAGATATAACATGATACACAAATAATCAAAATAACTACGAAAATATGCAATTATGGTAGCATAGAACAAGCAAGTGAACTAGAGAAAGAAGCAACTAAATGGAGAAAAAAAATTCAAATACTGGTTGGACCATAGCAACTAAATGGAGAAAAAAATTTAAAATTCCAGTTAGATGGCCATACACTGATTAGCACTTATCAGTCCAATCAAGGATTACTACTGAACCACATAAGTCTGATACCAATCCTTACTTTTTTTCTTGGTGATATCAGATGGTAGAAGTCAATATATCACCAGTATATTGGTACTATACCAGTCCATCGGTTGTGGTAATCTACTGAATCAATACAAAACCAGTATACTAACTGTGTACTAACTCATACCGCTCAATACCACCTAAAAATAATTAAAAATTAACACCAATAAGGCCTGGTACATTCCTTAGTTGAACCAGTAAATTGTCATCACTTAATGACCTGTATTTGTATTTATGAGAAGAACTACAGTAAGATATTGTATTATCAGAATGTGCCTAACATATGACATTCCCATTAAAAAAATAAAAGTCAACTGCACTATGGGAAAACTTGAAATGAAAGGTTATTATGTGCCTTGTCATTTCATGTAATTGACAAATACCACAGAAATATTAAATGCTAAAAATGATTTTCATGCAAACTTCCCATGGGTCTTAACATATCAATCAATAAAGTAACTCATGATACTGTAAGCTCACTAAACCTGTGCAAGCATCATTCAGTCAGCTACTGAACTGCTCAACCAGATGATATCAAAAACGAGAATCAGAATGCATCAAACCAAACATCATAATAATGCACATTTGCCAATGTCAGATTCTAAAGATAAAATGATGCACTTGAGGACACAAGGATGCTAGATCATGACCAAGTATTGTTATCATCAAGAGTTCCAATACTGGAACTTTTTAGAATTCACCTATAATTACATCTGAAAATATTAACTTATGATTAGATGCAAAAACTTATATCATATAGTAATATTACATATGGAGATTCTTTCTGGCAGAAACATTACTCAAGTCTCAGAATTCTGTTCCATAGTAGAATGGGGATTCTCTAGAAGGGTTAGATGGAAAGATTATGTTGGAGCCATCAAACTTTACAAGTACTATCCAACGAAACAAATTAAAATTGTTTATCAAAAGTGGCAGCATGATCATTTTCAGGCAGATACGAAAAACTACAGAAAACCACAATAGCAGTCTGGAAGATTGAAAACCGTAAAAGAAAATGAATGAAGACCTCAAAAACAAGACACCACAGAGAGAACAGGGGATCAGCTATGACAATGAAGAGAAGATCTGATGTTTACAATGGCAAGCTACATCCTTGGAAATGTTGTAGTTTATAATACGAAACCAACTGTTTTACCTTTCCTCTGCTGGCACCTCTCCATGGTAATTTACAGTGAATATCTGATTCTCAGTAAGAAAATGATCAACAGCACGACTGGAATTTAGTGTATTGCAGAAGACCATAACCCTATTTCCCTTTGACAAACTTGGCTCCAGAACCTGACATTAAACATTGCAACTGTTTAAAAAAATTCTGGATGTTGGATGATAATAGCTTTCGGTAGCATGTTCTCTTTTCAGAAAAACAGTATATTGGACCCAAAACACATGTATCAAAAGAATAAGCCCATTCTGAGATCTATCAAATACATTAAGAACAACTTTCAGCATACACTGTAACAATTATGTTCTTCAGTATGTTTACTCCCCAATAGTTGCGACATTATGGTGTGTTCTTGTAGTGTTATTTGCTTGTTTGTTTACTGACAACTGTTTTTTCCCAAAGGTCATCTTGTATTTGCTAAATGTAGCCTACAGAAGATCATTTGAATCAAATGGTCATGATTCTAAAAATAAGTAGAAAATGCAATATATTGTACATGAAGATGCACCTCAGTAAAACTTTATTTCTTTTCAACAGAGGGAATTCTTATCACCCACAGATAAGTATATACAGAAGCCAAATGGTTAGAACACTATGTATAAACGTGAATGTACAAGTTTCCTCTAGAAGTTAATTGCCAACAAGGAACCTATAGTGTATATGCAGTATGCACATCCAAATTGTAAGCAACTTTATAGTCAACTAATGATAAAATCATCCCCCCAAAAGACTAACAGATATTCTTGACAATGGAATGTAATGTCAGAACAATAAAATAAAAAAAACGAAAAACTTGAACAGTTGATAAACAAACAAGAGAGACCTGTAGAAGAGCTTCAAGCTTGTTCTCAGCACCAGAAAGTTTAATAAAGTCATGTCGAGCAGATGCAACTTTCTTTTGAAAACTAGAAGTGCGCAAATGAATTATTCCCTGGAATTCCTCATCAACCAAGTTTTGCACTGCCTACAGAAAAAGAATCAGCAATCAAAAGAGTGCATGTAAAGCAAAAGAAGTTTGAATTCTATTTACTGACTAATAAAAATTTAATTACCATAGCAGTAGATAAAACTTAATAAACGACCACCCTACTTCAATGGTCAGGCTTTCCAAAAAATATGGGCTATGTGGGTCAGTGAAATAAGCAAGGACACATAAGGAAAAAATATTCCTAGCACATAATATGATTAAAAAAAGCAAAGGCACGTTAACGTAACAAACAATCATTAGTTCCAACATGTATCAAAACACGAGAACTTAAGTTTCGTACAAAAAACACAATACACATACAACATCTTAACATAGAGAAGCAACTTCTGACACATTTTAAGAGCAATAACCCCTGTCCAGTGGACAAATTGGTTCCCATCATCTGATTTAGTTAAAGATTACAGAAAAGGCAATTATAACAAAAACAATATGAAAATGTACTATAAACTCAATCTACTATCATCTTCTGCTTGTAAGAACATGTTATAGCAATTGATCACCTATGATTGCATGTTTTAATAACAATAGAGAAACAAACCTAGTACATTGTATAGGCTTCATAATAAGCTTGAATATAACATTCAGATAAATTGAAAGCCTACGTGCAACGTGGCTGCAAGTTTTTAATATTCATGACTAGTTAAAAGGAGTGCAGTCGTACACTGAGGTAAACCTAATAAAAAAGAGGGAAATTATTACAAATAAAGTCTGCATTTGGGTTCACATCACATCCAGATCTATTATTAGGGAATAAGGACTTGTTCCGTAAGAACATGATTTCAATTATGTAGTTTCTCTTGAAATACTCTACCCAAATTGCTTAGACCAAGTCTTTTACCTAAAGAAAAAAAAGTAGCTATTCTCCATACTTAATACATATCATTATATTCCTTCTAGTTTTTCAGAATGCAATTGTAAGAATAACTTCAAGTATTCACCAGTTAGGAAAATAGTTACCGATAGAAACTATATTACACCCATATGACAGCAACAATTTGATGCCAAAGGATGTCCAAGTTGTACTTGGAGTAGATTAACCCATGTCAATTGCATGCATGGATGATCAAAAGCAAATGCAGCGAATTATGCTTTACAATGCCAAAGGATGCATCGTTCAACACCTAAAATCATGAAAATCTTATCACAACTTTTATACTTGTTGAAGACTTCTTATTTCATGCTCATAAACATACTGTATCTAACAGTGACATTGCATGGTCATTAAAAAAAATTGTGCATGTATATTTGAAAAGGAGGTGGAAAGCAAAAGTTTTACATTTATAAAGCATGTTAACTTATGTGTTCTGGTTGCTTTGTTATTCATAACAAACACCAGCAGCTAGCAACCAGATTGGCATAACTCACCAAAATAGATGCTATCCGCTACAAAATCTATTAAAAAGGCAAAACACACATTATAACCAGAATCATGAATGAAGACCGGAGAACATATATTTATAATTATTATGACAAAATTTAAGGTACCGGACATCTTTAACTGAATACGCATTATATTGCTTATATTTTGTCAAACTGAATGCTTTAATCACTAATCACCTAACCTTAGTCATGGTTGCAGTGACCAAAACAGTTTGAAAACCATGGTCACCAGGTTTAGCAGCACGGTTCTTTAGGGGTCCAAGAAACTTGCGTATGTCAGGACCAAAGCCTTGATCAAACATTGTATCTGCCTCATCCAAAACCTGATATAAAGATGCCCAATTTCAATATCAAGTCAGGACTATTACTATTAGTCTTTTTTAAGAAAAAAGGTGCTGTTACTAATTGTCATTTAATACTGAACATTAAATAGCATAAGCCAAAAAGTTATGAGGCTTCCTATGTAGAACCTACCAAGAATTTTATGTCCCCATAAACCATATTCCCATCATTGATATGTTGAAGAATTCTTCCTGGGGTCCCAACAACCATATCAATCGGTTCGCTTAGAGAATCTTCTTGAGGTCTTAAACGTCCACCTCCACTGATCATAGTTGACCGGAACCTAGCATGATGGCTTATAGACTTGGCTACACGGAAAACCTAAAATACACCAAAAAGATCCATTTACAATGGAAACATGTAGTTTTTACCTCTCTATACATATCTGCCCTTCACAAAAAGTTCAAAAAAAACCTGTTCACATAGCTCCCTTGTTGGACAAAGCACAACAGCTCTAGGACGCCTGGGTCTCATCAGCACTCCAGATAATGCTTCATCTTGCCGCATCAGCTGCAAAACACATAATTCCAATCAAATCACTATTCGGGGAAGTCCAACCAAATGCCTGGTACAAATTCAGTTTAGTAAATAAAAATATGATCTGATTGTCTCAGCTTGCTGCTGTTCCATCAGTAGTTCCTAGTGGCATTACAAGGTGAGCTAATAGCCAAAGTCTTGCAGTCAACAAAATATGATCTGATTGTCTCAAATTCAGTAAGTAAACAAAAGTATGATCTGATTGTCTCGGCTTGCTGCTGTTCCATGAGTAGTTCCTAGTGGTATTACAAGGTGAGCTAATAGCCAAAGTCTTGCAGTCAACAAAATCCTACATCGATCATATCATACAATGAAACAGGCATGCATGACACAGCCCTAAAAACTCATAGAACCAAAGATGCATAGCACATCAAGTTCATAAGAAAACTACGACAAGAACTAAAAATGCATAATAATTTAATAGTAGCAGAGAGGGGTCATTTTCGATTGAAAACAAAAGCGAAGCTTGCAGCTAAAATCTACATTATAGAAGAGTATAGAGTGACTATCTTATCAACCAAAAAGGCGAAAGGCAAAAAAGTAGCAGCGAAGCGCGACCTGAACTATGGGCAGCATGTAAGCCAGGGTCTTGCCGGACCCAGTATGAGAGCCCAAAACGACACTTTTACCCTCGAGCACGGCGGGCACCGCGATGCACTGGATCTCCGTCGGCACCGAGATCTCCATCTCCTTCACCGCCCCCATCACCTCATCACCCAGTCCCAACTCCTCGAAGCTCGACGCCGACCCACGCTTCTTCTCCTTGCGCTCCTTCTTGACCGCAACATTCGCGGGGCGCGGAAGTGACGGAGAGATCGGCGCCCGCCCCTGATCAATGCCCTTCGATTGGTCCCTGAGGTGTCGCAGACGGAGTCTTTCAAGCAGGAGAGAATGGCGCAGGGGCTGCGGAGCCGGCTCCTCGTCAGTGGTGGCGATGGCTGTTGGGGCAGCGGAGAGGCAGAGAGCACGGGTAAACCCCGGGAAAACCCTAAGCGGCGGCGGGAAGCGAGGCTTATTGTAGGAAAAGAGGGTTCGAGAGAAGAATAAGGACGAGGAAGAGGAGGAAAGGAGCGCTTTTCCAGTAGCTCCTCCGCAGGCCATGGCCAAGGATAGAGGCGGCGCAGCCGCCGAGTAAGGAGCCTGGATAAAGCCTTCAGTGTTATCGGTTCAGAGGGAAGTAACGCTCGAGATATATATATATATATATATATATATATATAT